CAGCAATAGTGGGCGGAGTTACATCAGAAGACGGGGTGTGAACGCAATAAGTGAAGCCATACGTAGCAAGATGTTATGCATTACACGAATATTTTTCTGAATTTTTTCATCATCATAAACACGATATTCTAAAAAAAAACAAACACAACAACTCTGAAAACGGCGTGGCTGTGGGAAGGGGGGGGGGGGTAGAGCTCAGTGTATGTCTGCAACCAGTCATCGAAAAAAGGTATTTGTGAATAAAGTTATAATGCGGCAGAATTTTCGATAAATCCTCCAATAAGTGGGTGGAGTCATCGGGGTGGAGTTAAGTGTATCGTTATATGAAAGTCCATTCAACATTGTATATGGGTGCATGTGAATCGTTCGCGGCAAAAGGGGCGTTGGCTGTCCTACTTTGTGCAGAGGGTAGTGTAGTGGGGACCTAGCTAGAATGCTAAAAAACTCGCCTTAGGAGAGATCCCGAAAAATGAAAGAAAGGTTACAAGCAATGAGATTGCTTCGAAGAATTGGTCAATGGAACGGAATTGTTGACACCCCATGCAATCGAAACGGCGCCTTCATCCACTGCGGTATCCGTTGCCCTGTTGGGAAGCGCTCCCCTTCACAAAGCGTCCGGACAGCTCCCCTTGTCAACCAGATGAGCCCTATTGAGAAGCCGTTAAGGGCTAGCTTCCAATTATCGTCACCTTCAATTCACGTCATGTCCCTCTTGATCCTGTTTGTAGCTCTTTCCCTTAATCGCTCTTTCTCGCTGTTTGTGACTCACAACAGGCGGCTGACTGAATGCACTTGCAAACACGATTTGCCTGCCCGAAATCAGCTGTTCACTGAGGCGCAGAGAGGGGACGTCGTCGGCAAATTGAGTCTATCGGACGCGACGACTACATCGAGCTTGTCGACTGACAAAAAGAACTTGCCACTCTGATCAATGAGTGGCGCTAGATGGTTGACAGATAAAAGAAAAACCGTTTCTAGAGGGGGAAAAAAGCAGCAGAACACATCAATCTTCTTGAGTGAGAATAACATTCTTAGAACGACCTCAGAGGGCCAAACGTCCTCATGGGATTACCAATTTGTTAGGCAAAAGTTGAACCCTTTCGAAGAAGACAAAGGATAAAGGGAAATGTGTCAATCCCTTCAATCAATCCCTTCTTAGGATGCGATGCACATACTACTTCCAGTCAGAATCATGGTGGCCTGTTGAAAGCTATGTGGATCATCAACGACCTACGGGGGCCAGCCAATGTATTATTCGGTGTTGTTATCCTACCGGAGGGATCTGATACCAATTTACGGTCCTCGAGGTACCAGGCATGGTAGGCGTGAGCGGGAGCTGATCCAGGACTCGGACCACGCACATGGTAAGCGCCCCGCTTGCAGTACACCACTTCCACCTATTGAAAAAAATACACTGATTCAGGTTTGTCTAGACCCTTCCCTCCCTCGTTGGAGTGCTGGGGACCTTAGAGCTCACTCTAACAGCTCTTCCTCACAAAGATGGCTTTCACCGGGATGAGTGGGAGGTTCGGAGATCGATACAGCTCTAACCGGGATGAGTGGGAGGTTTGGAGATCGATACAGCTCTAAAGGATACCAAACTTAGCTTATGTGCATGCAAATGAAGACTTACGCCCGGGCCCTCTCATCTGAAGCCATGAGAAACAAAAAATATAAATGAGCAAGATTCCGCTTGAGACGGAGGTGGTGTAGTGACAATTAGCACGCTTATAACGCGCTAGATCTTGGGTCTATTCCCCGAACGGCTCCCGGCCAGGCCAAGCAGCCGGTACCAATTCACTAGGTCTTCAAGACGGCGAATTGGTACCAGGCTCGTCTGGGAGGACAAGTGCACTTTCCTGTACATCGGCTGCCCCACATCTAGGCCTGATCACATTCGATAAGCCTCTGCGATTCCGAATGGAAGTAGAATGCGTGTCGCATGCCAAAAAGGGTCGATTAACGGCGAATATCCTATCCTTTATAATTCCGCCTGTCCCAGGGCAAAATTATTATCCATCTGGGGGCGCAAGGTTCTCTCTCACCTATCGTTTTCAAGTAGCACAGCCCCTGAAATTTCATTTTTTTCATGACCCCTCTTATCTCACCCTTTGTTTTTCTGCGTTCTTCCTGCGAATAAAGTTCTCGATGGTCTCACTTACCCCTACTGTCCAGCGCCAACGTATGTCAGCGAAGGTTTTGAGTTATATCGTGAAGATTAGCGTTGTTTGAACAACGGCCCTCGCTGCAACAGTACAACACTCGACTCTGCGCCATTGTGAACTCATTTCGGAGCTCAGCTTTATTTCAGAACTCAGGCCCCGCCCTCAAAGGATATTCGTTGCTCCGCACTGCACATTAATACAAAAGCATATTTTTTTGCGATTTGAGTGAATGTTTCCTATGGACCAC